TACGAACCCTTTGTACGAACAAAAGTAAGATAAATTTAGGATAAGAATACGAACATGTTCTTGCATGAGGCCCAATGTGAGAAGTTCAATTATTTGGGAGCTGCTGCTCCTCTACATCAAAAGGAGCCAGCTGAGATGGCTCGGGCATCTGGTAGGTATACCCTTTGGACGCCTCAAACACACATGTCAAACTGGGAGGAGACCACAGAGAAATTGGAAAGACAATGCCTTGGAATCCTTCCAGAAGAGCTGGAAGAGATGGCTATGGAAAGACATGTCTTGGCCTCCCTGCTAAAGCTGCTTCCCCTGTGACACAACTTTGGAAAAAGCAGAAGATAATGGATCATGGGTGATAAATTCCCAATGAAGTTCCAAAATATCTCAATAATTTTTGGTCATGACTAGATGTAAGGTCTCACCGGAGTTTTGTGGTCTGTGCTCAGTCGGTCTCGGAGGTTCCTCAAAGCGCTCCTGAAGCCTCTTGACTTTGGTTTCTCAGACTTGACCTGATGATGGGGGTTGTTCTGTAGGTGAGAAGTCCCTTTCTGTCAGGAAAACAGATTGCCAGTAAAACTTTAACTCTGCCATAGGTCAGTTCTTACATCAGAATCTAAAGAGCAGTTGGGACATTACCGATGAAGTGTTGCTCTTCTTGTTGCATGCGCCCCCTTTCTTTTCTTCCCCATCTTCTTCTTCACCCTCACTTTCACTATTGTTGATAAAGCAAAGCTGGAGATTCATCTGTGTCTGTAGACTGAAAGATAAACAAAAGTTCATTTTTAGTTACTTTTTTTTTTGTTAAAGACCCTTGAATAAATGCATATCATTTACCACCTTTCATGACAGAGTTTTTATTTAAGAGGACAAAATTTAACAGTTGCAGCTGTTTTGGTCAAACCCTGAAAAAGATGTCACCATGGATTTACACAACATGCGACTCCGCTGCACTGCAGTGCACAATTTGCAGCTGTTCGTTTGCACCCCAATTTATACAGCATCTATTTGAAACTTCTGATTTCAAAATAAAATCCATGTGTATCGTGTGTGTGCACATATGCTTCATGCTACATGTTGTCATCTGCTTCCCAAACAGAACAATACATTCTGACAGCATTTGTGTAGAAATATATCCATACATTTATTAATATAGCTGGGATTTCGACAGAATTCTTTGGTGTCTTATTCTGAAAATATGGATGTTGTGCTTGTTCATTTTCCTGTTGGTGYGATGTAATCTCTGTAGATTGACTCCGGAGTAGCTCAGGCTTCCAGCAAAAATAGGATCATTCTAATTTTGGCAGATCGCCGTCCACTCACCGCCTCCCTGCGCCACTGTGCGGAGCCAGAGTAAATACTCTCATTGATTAGAATGGTTGTGTATTTGCTGCGGAGCGGAGACGCATGTAGTGTGAATTAGGGGTCATGCTAGTGTGAAATTTAACACCAGGAGCTTATGTTAGGGATGACTTTCATTAACTATTATGTCACATTTTAGCTCATTATACAGTGGGGAAAATAAGTATTTAGTCAGTCACCAATTGTGCAAGTTCTCCCACTTAAAAAGATGAGAGAGGCTTGTAATTGACATCATAGGTAGACCTCAA